GGGTCCCGACTGTCTCGAAATCATTGGCTCTAGTCTATTATATCACCAACTACGCCACTAAAGACGACGTGTCTCCATGGCAGATGGTAGCAAAGGGAGCTCTCTTGAAGCAAGCTATTGAAAAGGCCAAAAGGGCTGATCCACCAACCGCCACTGATCTGAGACTCCAGGAGAAAGACATGGATAATTTCGCCCTGCGTTGCTTCAATAGTTTGGCTCACGACCGAGAAGTGAGTGGTGTTCAGGTCGCCAGCACCTTGCTCCATCTTCCAAGCCACTATACTGTCGACACAAAATTCATCCGTGTCAACCTGTGGTGGCTAAGACATTACGTGCGCGGCCTTCAACATCAGACCGGCACAGACGCCGATAGTTCCGCTAGAATTGCTGATGAACCCTGTACCTTCCAAGCCGGGGAGGCAGTTCCGCTGAGCCTGTTTGACAACTACAAATGGCGCGGGGACGGCCTTGCCGCTTTCTCACTCTTTGAATACTGCATGCTTGTCCAGATACGAAGCAAGCGACGAAACCGATCCGACCACTTTGAATTTGCCCTATGCCACCCAAAACGTAGGACCTGTATCCAGCATATAGCCCGCTCAAGGTCTGAGATAGCCACCGTCACATTCAATGGGCAACTGACACAGTATCAGATGGCGGAAGACTGCGTCCGTGGAGGCCATCCGATGACTGAAGCCATTGCGAATGATCTCGCGGAGATCCTTCTCGGCCTCTTCTTGCCTTGGGAAAGACTGCGCGACAGGTTACTTTGTCAACCTCATGAAGAGAATATCTTCTTGTCCGTTTGGTCGTCGGTCAAACCCACACTTGCCCCGCATATTCAAGAGTTTGCCGCTAATATTGAACTTCTTCGGAAATCCAAAGAAGACTGCCAAATTGACGCCAGGTTACGACAGTCAACAAACCACTACGCCGAGCTGTTTGATCACCATGTTAACCACATAGATCCGGCCGACATTGATCCAGAAGATCCACAAGATAACAACTGTTTCATAACTCCTGAAGATGAGAGATTCACAGCGGAGACTTTGATTGCCGCTTATAATACTATAAATAAGGCCTGGGGCCGAGATTGCTTTATAGCTGCGAAGAAAGCACCTATCCTGGCCACTTCCTGCCGAGCACATGGTTCCACACAGATAAACCCGCTTCCATCAACTACTCATTCTCTCCGATCTGATCATACCTTGGATTTGAAATTCGTTCCATCCACAATCCTTCAAGAGTGGGAAAGCCGCCTTGCCAGTCATAAGAAGCCCTTTCAGGACGGTGACACGTCCGAGCCCGCTACCGTGCCACTGCACGACTTTGATCTAACAGATGGAGACGGCGTGCTGCAACCCGTATTGACCAACGCAGACACTTCTGACGATACACCAGCTCGGCCCGAGCTCCTTGAAGATCCCACGCCGGCTTCTCTGTTGACGCTGGTTGGCAGACAAATTCCCCTGAATGTGAAGCAATCGCTTGTAGTACGAAGGTTACTCTCTGAAATTATGACATGGCCTAACCATTCATGTGATCCATCAAGGCGCAAGCAACTCCTCCTCTGTATTACGGGCGAAGGTGGCACGGGTAAGACCCAGATACCTAAGGCTATCGAGGCCGCTCTGGTGGTTCTTGGTCGAAAACACGAGATCATCCTGACGGCTCCAACAGGGGCTGCAGCAGATAACTTAGGAGGTAACACCTATCATACATCTCTTGGCATCAATATTTCCCATAAAGCAGCCATAAGCACTCGCGTTAGAAGGCTATGGGCAAAAAAGACTATCTTGGTTATTGACGAAATGAGCATGGTCGATTTAAGAATGCTAAGTGTGATCAATGATCAATGCAAAGTCGCTCGCTCACTACCGAGATCCTCTCCCGACCTCTTTGGCGGTCTTCCTATCGTGATTCTTATGGGCGATTTTTTCCAGTTCCCTCCTGTTCGCGGCCCACCACTATGGAAGAAACCAAGATATGGAGTTGAGGACGATGCCGCCGGCAGGCTGATCTGGCGTAGATTCGAAAACGTCATCATTCTTGACGAGCAGATGAGACAATCCGAAGATCCTTGGTTTCGCGAGTTTTTGACACGCGCGAGGCAAGCGGCCTTGACCGAGGATGACGTTACCCGCCTGAATTCCAAATCTATCCCCTCGCTTATAGATCCAATCTCCGAAGATGCCTCTGTCATTGTCAAATTGAACGCCATACGTCACCCAATTAACCGAATCCGTATCGAGAATTTTGCTCGGCGGAAATCTCAGAGAATTTATGTTTTTGCCGCAGTCCACACTCGGACTAGGTCGACTGGTCCAACGAACCTTCGCCTTCAAGCTCATGACTTGCTACTCCAACCAGATCACAGTGCCCAGATCCCATTCCCAGGGCTTCTTTTTTATACCAGAGATATACCTTGCGTAATGCTTACTAACGCCTGCACCCCTCTCGGTCAGGTCAACGGTGCCACGGGTACCGTGGTAGGGATTGTTTTGGACCCAGCTGGGAAGTTTCCATTCGACATTGAGATTCTCGACCCTCACTAATATAATTGTACAGCCGAACTTTTTGATTTGGATGACCTTTACACTTTTTGCACAAGACCACCTGCTTCCGTGCTATTCAAACCTGATAGAGCCTTAGTAACGCGTTTTGACCATCTCCCACCTTCGACCATGCCAGTCTTCCCGATTGAACGTTCTATCACAGTGAAGGGCTTGTCCGTTAGGAGAAAACAGATCCCGATCTGCCCCGCCTTTTGTCTCACCGATTACAAAGTGCAAGGCTCGACCATCTCTGCCGCGATTTTAGACCTAAAGAACGATACGGCTCGACGAGGTCAAGACTCCCATCGAAAATACTGCTCACTCTACGTGCAGCTTTCCAGACTGCGATCTTTCCAAGGTCTCCATTTACTTCAAAAGATTACTCTTGCTGATCTCCGCTTTTCTCCCGATCCTGATCTCATTGTGGAAATGGAAAGGTTACGTGGGTTAGAAGCCAAAACTCTTGCAACTTGGGCTTCACCAGTCTGACTAGGCCTCTCTTAATTCACATCGCTAATATATATACTTGCCACGTCCTTAACATCAAACGCCACTATTGCTACGTCGTTTCAGGGCTTACAGCGTGCGACAGCGCGCGTCCCCAGTAGAGAAGGGAGTGCGCTACAGAACGTTTTAAAAAGCCTTGTTCAAGGAAGAAGACAGCGAGAAGTACTTGAACAGAAAACTCGGTGTCAGAACAAGAGCCCATAGAAGTGCGTAGCAAAAGAATGCAAGTAATGGAAGTGAGGTTTTAACAAATAAACAGCAGCTATGAAGCACAGACACTAGGGTTGAGTAAGTCAGGTGGTAGGGTTATAGAGGCAAGAGCCAGTTAAGTAGGAAAAAAACCGCCAACACTAAACCAAGTCGATAAATTCTCGAAAAGCAATCAGAAGAGGGCGTGGAATGAGAGGAAATGAGAAGGGAGCGAATCATAGGCGAGAAGTGGATCAGAGTAGCGAATGAGAAGGTAGAATCTGCGTAACAGCGAGCATAAATTAAAGTTTTTGACAACAAGGACCTTCCCTGCGCGCGGTAGTAAACCCTTTCTCTCACTTCGTTCGTTTCAGGGCAGTTACTTCTTTTTGCAACGTCTCGCACACAAGTACGTCCCGTGTTTAAGTCCCTTTCTCTCACTTCGTTCGTTTCAGGGCATTACATTGTATCTTGAATCATGTATTCACTTGTAAATGATACATCTGACACCTCCCTACCCCACCTTCAGATCAACCTCCCAAGGGACGGTGTCTCAAGCATCAATCACGAGTGGTCGAGCCGAGATGGCGCCAAACCTAGCCCCTTCTAAACATGAGCTTATCTATGACATGATCCACAGTGGGGAGCTATCTATATCGCAGATGGCACAGGCTGCTGGCTGCAATAGGAGTACCATCCTGAGAATCTCTTCCAATATACGGATGTTCGGCAGCGTTAAATCACCGCCTAACAAAGGCGGACGACCTCGTAGCATCACTCCAGTCATGCTCGAGGCTTTATGTGATTATTTACTCGAAAAACCCACCCTGTACCTTGACGAGATGGCGATTTTTCTGTGGGACGAATTCGCTATTCAAGCAACGAAATCGAGCATCAGCCGCGCACTTACGTCCAAAGGCTGGTCTAAAAAAACTGCCCGAGTCAAGGCCCGAGAGCGCAATTTAGACCTGCGTGACGAATACCTCCACTTTATCTCCGACTTCCAGTCTTACCACCTTGTCTATGTGGATGAGTCTGGATGTGATAAAAGGATAGGCTTTAGGAGAACGGGTTGGTCCCCGCTAGGTATAGCACCAGTCCAAGTATCTAAATTCCATCGTGATAAGCGATATCAGATACTGCCTGCGTATGCCCAAGATGGCATTGTTTTATCTCGAGTGTTCCAAGGCTCAACTGATGCGTCCATCTTTGAGGATTTTATTGCGCAGCTTCTCAAGCATTGTGGGAAATGGCCCGAGCCGAAGTCTGTGTTAGTCATGGACAACGCATCTTTTCATCACTCAGAGCGAATAGAACAGATGTGTTCAGAAGCCGAAGTAAAGCTGGTCTTTTTGCCTCCATATTCTCCAGACTTAAATCCTATTGAGGAGTTCTTTGCGGAGTTGAAAGCCTTCATTCGGCGAAATTGGCAGTCTTACGAAGAGAACCCGGATCAAGGATTCGATACCTTCCTTGAATGGTGCGTTGACATCGTCGGTGCAAGGGGGAAGAGCGCAGAGGGACATTTTCGGCACGCAGGCCTGACCATAGAGGAGACGTAAAGCGGCTACTTCTCATGATACACATTCCACGCGTGGTATGTCCCACACTCAGTCATTTTCACGGGACACCGGCCTCGCCGTCGACCTACGCTACATTAGCTACAGCCACGAATGCCCTGTGCAAATTTCTACACCATACCAAAGAATAGATAAAGTCCCGCTGCTATAACGCAGCATCTAGTCTATATTATTTTGCTTTCCAAATCTGGAAATTCTTATCCCTTCCGTCCTGGTGGCTCTTTGCAAGTACAAGTTGTGTTATAGACTCATTGGCCACGCAATCGATTCCCAACTCGCGGCCACGCCTGACGATCCAGCCGTTGATATACTCAATTTCTGTCTCTCGGCCTTTTCGAATATCTTCGCGCATACTACTCGAGTTTCGTGCTGTTTTATTAATCGTGTCCAATAAAACATTTTCAAGTAATTCAACTGAGAAATGGGCCAGATCGCGCGGCAAGTTCTGGAGCTCGGGAAGTTTCCCATAAACCATCGAAATTTCTTTGAGAAGGCGGCAATGCAGAGGCCAGAGGTCACGGTTATCCTTGATATCACCGTTTCGCACATCGAGTAATGCCGTTAAAGGGTTGAGCACGCAATTCGCAGCCAGCTTCAGCAGCTGCTCTCGAAGAAGATGTGGCCACTCCATCTTTTCACAACGAAGGACGGGAGATTTAAGCAAAACATCCAGTAGGAACTGAGGCTGAGATGGCCTTGAAGAAAATTCTTCATTCCTTACAATGCCCACAGCAGCACAACCATTCGAGCTCGCGAGAACAACCTCGGTCGAAGATCTCAGATAGACCCCATGACGCATGATGCCAAATATGTACGTTGGTCGTGTGGAAATATCCGGAAACATACGCTTGTTGAGATCTTCGACCTGACCTAGTCCATTCTGAAAGAGACAGATTGTCGAATGTGACCCGAGCCGATGTCGAATAGGCTCGAGGGCAGACACCGTAGCGGATGCCTTGACAGCAACTATCAAGTTATAAATCGGGTGAGAGTCGGAGGATTCTCCCAGCATCTCTGCGTCAAACTCCCCTTCTTCTTGTAGATCGCCATTTTCTCCTAGTCGTAGACCTAGCTTCCACCCCTTAGAAGCTAGTTCTTCATAGAGATTTGATCGATGGACAAGTAAAGTGACGGAAGGTGGGTTAGGAAGAGATCGAAGAGAGTGGGCAACAAAGGACCCAATGCTGCCCAGGCCTATAATATGGGTTGTCTGAGCTGAGGTCATGATGACTGTGAGGAAAGGAAAAATTGCTTTAATGATACGAAAGCAACACGGTAACTAATTAACTCTATTGCCGATGACTATAACTCTCGGAGTTCTCGGCGACGCCGCGGAAAGACGCGGTGTCGGAAGGTTCTCCGATGATAAGCCGATAAGCAGCTCGGTCATCTGGCCGAAGTCCGATAATCGCACTGCCCCAAGCGTCTCCACTCATTCTCGGACGGTATACCGGTCAAACTCATCATAGATCAGTTCAACTCGGTAAACAACACATAATCACTGTAATAATTGGATTATAGTCGCCTTGCTAAGAAGAAAAAATTTGATAAATACCCACACCGGCAATGGGTCGAATACCGGCCTATCCAAGCCACTAGTGTCGAAGATCTAGACCTAAGGATTTTCCAGGAGCCCAAATTCGCAGTCCGAGGACAGCCAATCTAAGACGACAATGAAAAATTCTGTGTAATGATTGCCAGGTTGAAGAAAACTTGTTAGGGGGTCTGCGATGCTCGAGTGATTAACATTGAACGAGTTCCAATTTTACTCCAATATCTTTTTATTTTGAGCTGAGCATGCACGAATCGAAATCCAAAGGCCTCGAGAGGTCCGCATCATCCTTGTATGTATATTTTCTGTCTTAATAGAATCAATATGATAATCTATTGCATCTGGAGGTCGTGACAGTGTTGCATAGCTTTTCTTACCCCCACAGGTAGCATCCGAATGTTTCTTCCAAGCTCCTGGGGTTCTTATAGTCCATTTCTGGCTTGGGTGGTCTGCAAGTCCATTTTGTAAGGCCAGCTATGTCAGTTGTTTTCTTCGTATTCGGATACCTGTCGATGAGCATCAGCTGGGTGACCTTACTGCTCCGTTTATATTTAACAGCTATGGCTATGGTCCCGTGAGTCTTCATCAGCAAGGGCGCTTGCTTACGTGCTAACAGCGAGTTAGCATGAAGGGCTCAAGTAATAAAATTCTAGAGGATGACAAAGACACGTAAGGGCAAATTAGATGAGATGATTGAGAAAATGCCGTCGAACTTTTACTAGACTGCACCTAAACCTAAGTACACCTGGGGCCAAATTTTGCTCGAAGTGAGGCACTTTTGTTGTCTCAACAGAACATATAAAACACCATTCTTACAGAAAAAGAAAGGTTTAAGCGTCGCTGATTTCTCGGTCATAGATAGCCCTAGCCGTTTACAGAACTGCAATACATTCCATCTCAACATCGGTGCCAAAAGGCAACGACTTAACAGCCACACAGCTGTTACAACAAGTCAGAGATATTTTCTTCATGTCCCAGTGGGTCGTACATACGTTCTGCAGGGTTTCACTTCATCCACGAAATATTTCTCGTAAACCGAATTCATGGCTGCGAAATCATCCATGTTGGCGAGGTAAACATTAATCTTGACAGCTTGGTTGAGACTAGTGCCGGCAGACTGTAGAGTACTGGAGAGGCTCTGGAGGATACGTTCCTAAAACTTGATAAGCGTCTTGACCACACATTGGAATCAACAAGGTGGGCTTTTTCTTACCGTATGAGCCTTGACATCTCCGTCAATCAACTTCCCTGTTTCAGGGTCAATCGCAACGATTCCAGAGCAGTACACAACTCCATTAGCGATGACTGCTTGCGAATAGAGGCCCCCGTAAGGCTGGGGTGCCTTATCGGTATGAGCTGCCGTTCTTGGAATAGACATTTGATCGAGAGAAGCGAGATTTTAGCGCGAACAGCGAGAGGTGTTGTATTGTTGCATCACAATAAAAAAAAGCCTCGGTCTGCGAGCGACGTCAGGGATTAATGTCACATTTTTTTACACTTCCCAAATATGACGTCTGATAGGTATTTGTCAGCACATGTCTTCCCGCATCATTCATCGCACTGAAGCTTGTTACTACTATATTACAAATACGATATAGTTTGGCAAGCAATATCTTCTATACAAGTGGGTCATTGAATTCTGCCAAGCACCGCCGTCAACCGTTGTCGACCGATATCGGTCGATCGAAGAGATTATTAACAGCGTCAATTAAGTATTAGCACTCTCGTTCCCAATAAAGGTGCCGACGTCTCCAGCTTAACCGTGGACTTCCTTTCCTCGCTGCTCAGGGCACTGCTCTCATTTTGACAGTTATCTTCTGCTCTTTCTCCTCCCTTGACCATTCCATTGAAATTTTCAATTTCACAGTCAATTTCCCCGCGGTTCTAACAAGGGCACTTCATCCCTGCTCGTCTTCAATCACTTATCCCACATATCCTGAACTATATCGCGGTGATGGCGTTGAGTCTTGATTACGTGACACTTGATGTCTTTACATCCAACGTCTTCGGTGGGAATCCATTGGCCGTTGTTTTTCTTCCGGATCATTCCTCAGAACCCGTCACCCGAGACCAGATGCAGGCTATTGCTCGTGAATTCAATTATTCAGAGACTATTTTTGTCTATCCTGTTTCTTTGATGGCTCCTACAAAGCGAAGAATCGATATTTTTATGACAACGAAGGAACTTCCGTTCGCAGGTCATCCGACCATTGGTGCCGCCTCATGGCTTCTTCGTTTATCGCCATGTCGGGAAGATCAGTCTGAATTTGAAGCCCTTACGACTAAGGCTGGTGATATTCCAATTTCACAAGTCGCGGCATCTTCTCTTGTTTCAGCCTGTGTTCCACATGAATTTCACCTTCACAAGGCGCAATTTCCTCTGTCAGAGCTTCTACGACTACATCCTACCTCGGTCCGTTCCTACAATCTAACGACTCCGGAAATATCGGCTTTCCTGTTTTCTCTGTCGTCAGGGGTATGACAGTGATTCTTGTTGAGCTTCCGAGTACCAACGCTTTGGCTGCCGTAGACATGCCCATCGGCGGTGAAATGATAAAACTTTCTTCTGCTCTGAATGGGGGCTATCTCGATGCTGGCTGGGATGGCGAGGGGCTCATCAACCTTTACTTCTATGTTCGTGATGTGCCTGACGGTGGAAGGACAGTTCTTCGTACGCGTATGCTTCTGGGAAATTTTGAAGATCCGGCCACTGGTAGCTCTGCCACTGGCTTAGCAGCATACCTCTCCTTGGTCAGCCAACAGCCTGAAGACAAAATCGTGTTTGACTATGACATTGTGCAAGGAATTGAAATGGGACGCAGGAGCGATATTGGCGTTCATATTGTGCTTTGCGATGACAAAAAGGGGATAGAGAAAGTGAAACTCATCGGGAGCGCCGTCCAAGTATCCTCAGGTCAAATTCGATTGAACTGATGTATGGTCCTCGTAGGAAATCGATGTTGAGGAATGGCGCCCTGGATGCCTGGACGCCCAGGTGCCCCAGGCTACAATATTGCTGGTAGGGCATCTCTCTCATCATATGCCGCGGTGAAATTGAAGGATTAGATGAATGTACTCACACCCTGATCGAAAACCGCCGTCTGTTGAGAACAGTCTTGCAGCCCACCGGCTCCTCTTCTTGTGTCTCGCTGTGTCGGTGGGTACAAAGTGGTGGATGGTTTACGAGGATCATTTTGTAAAGTCTAGTCTGAGGGTAGTGAGAAAGGCTATACGAAACCCCTCACAAAGAACTCACGTAAATTATGGTACCTTGATTATTTCTATCGGAAGTATATAGCATCCTTACAGGCTTCCGTTCCCAATTTTCCGTTTTCCATTGGTAACATTTACTAAAAGTTCCAAAATGCTAAGAGGCTTACACGAGCGGCTACAGTTTGCCTGGTTTGCAAAAGTCCTCTCTCTTAGGTGTATTTACTGTGCATTCCCTAAGCAATCATTACGATAGGAAAAGAGTAGGAGTAGTTCATAGAAGAAAACTTTGTGGGAGGATTGCCATCCTCAGCACACAGAGCTTTCGTTTTAGATCTCGAGGCGATTCAGGCGACGATGAAGATTTCAAACCAGATTGCATGAGAAGATGTTGCTGTGTAGAGGTGTTCACGACAGCATATGGGTCGACAGGTACCTTCAAAGAAATCATCCGCTGGGCAGGTCGGATGCGTATCGACAAGTTCTGACTTGGCAGCTCGCATTTCAGCTTTTGCTCACCCTGAGACCTCTTTTTGCCCGGATAATTTTGTCTGCAGGCGACATCCATGTATTGAGGTAGGTTCGCTCGCGAAATCAAAACTCTTTCATTCCCATCTGCGCCTCATTAGCCCAGACCTTGCAAATTACTGCAAAAAACCTACCGGTCACTGCATCTAGAAAATTTTCCTCCTTCTCTCTCACATAGTATAGCTCGTCCAGTAGTTTTAATCGTTCGATCGGAGAAATGTGTTGTTGAATCGGCTGTCCTGCTTCTTTCAGTTTCTGCGCGGTGATTCCGTGGCTGGTGCGTAATTCGCATAGGATATGGATGAGAAGCGCGATGCGCTCTGATTCAAAGGTCAGCTGAGTCAATACCATGGAAAATGCTGGTCTTCTCACCAGCTTTAGGAAGATGGTCGGGTTCCCGGTGGCTCACACCAAGTGGCCACCACGGCGGTTTGGTCTCTTCAGGACTGAATTGCTGTGTTTTGCCTGCCATTGCCTTCCTTCCATTGTAGGGATATTGAATTTGCTTGCGAGGCTCGACGAGCTTTATATAGGCTTTGGCAATAACTCGGCAATTCGTTTGCTGTAAGTTCTGAAAGACCTTCTCATAGTATTGACGGAGAACCACTTTGTTCTTGACTGAGATTGTGGCTGTCTGAACATCGAAACTATGCTCTTCGGTCCACAATCTTCTTCCACGTTGCAAATCTGTCCCTAGTTTTGCTGCTCCAGGAGCTGTAGGCGCTAGCGATGATGAGGGCGAAATCAGAGAGTGGCTGTCCGGCAGTTTTAGAGCAGGAGTTGGAAAGCCGCCTTCATTCGATTCTGCCACCGCTTTTAGAAACTCCGAAGTCATAATAGCACGGGCGCTATCGGAGATGGAAGGAGACGTCTCATGGCAAATTTTTCCTTCACGGTCAATATAGATGAGGGCAAAATGTCGTTCAACTTTCCTAGCGTTTTGATTTTGTTCCGGCATGCTGGTAGTTTTAATCCAGGCAAACTTCTGGAGCGGTGGCGGAGAATTCCTCAACGGCAGGTTTCGCTGGGAAATAGCGTAGAACCACGGCCTCTTTATTAACTGCCTTGAGCGCAGAGCACAGACGATTCAAGGTTAACCTATCAAAATTAGACGCAGGCTAAAGCCCAGATCTTTGTGATTGATCTATTCAGCCCCTCGAAGCGCACCGAATGGCTGTGATATTGAATCCAAGCAACCCCCAACTCAGGCAGAAATGCAGATTGTCAAGAGATTAACACCGGTAACAAGTATCGCCCTCCACAGACCGCAAGTGCTCTGCCACGCCCCCAAAGGAAACACGGGAGATCCCCCGAAAAAAGAGCTTCCATTACGTTGAGGTGGTACAGATTCGCGCCAAAGCAGCGAGGCTCGATGTTTAGCTCTCGAGCTTGAAATCTATTCAACTAGTATGCCCTACCTGATGCAAGGGGCCTTCCCAAAATTCATGGAAATCCAATCAACATGGACATGGAATGCGGATCACTGCTGATGGCAGAAATACCAGCCCTCAGCAACAACAAGACATGCAGATTTCTCGTGTTTCCATTCCCCTTGGCTCTACTCGGGGTGTTCATCTTCGGGAAGCACCTAATTATCTTGCGTGAGGGCCAATGGCGATGCCGGGAACTGTAATTACGGTAATTCGGGTGATCTACGAGATCTACATCGAGAAATGATGGGGATTTTGACAGGCCATATTCGGTTTAGCGCGATCTGAGCGGGGCGCTACTCCGTAGGCCAGGAATGATTCTCTGCGGAGGAACTTTCTTGATCTGACCAGCTGTTGGGTACGGCGATCTAGGCCAACCCATCAGTGGGTCTTCGGAAGGAAAGCGAGTGTGTGTCTGGGGGTATGTAATCTGTTTTCGAAAAACCCCTGTACACAATCCAACAGGGTATACAGAAAATTCGCTGTTACATTTTTGTAGAGAGTCATCTTTCCAACCCTCGATCAGAGGGAACTTGTGAGATACTGGACACCCAGATCCCTGGAAGACTCCTTCGTATGGCCCCATCCCCAGTTAACGCAATCGTTGACAGTTAACGCAATCGTTGAGTTCATTTTGACCTCAATCCTTCCAGATTCCCCGTGAATATTTACACAATTAGCTAATCCATTGTGGGGTCACCGCTCGATTAAATAGGCAGAAACGTGGTTATAATGAGAATATTGGTTGGTGATGAGAAAACTTGTTTCGGGCTGATACGACGCCACCTACGTCATAGCCCGTACTTCCCCAGGACAGGTAGGTATGTTCTCTGACCCGCTTGGTTTGCCGCAAATTTTTTTGAGTCTTGAGTCTTTCCATCTCAGTCCGGGTACGTCCGTTTGAAGAGATCTTTTATTTCTGGGCACACTATCAAAGTCCGCACCACAAATTAGCTAACATTGGGATTCACAATAGATGTTCTCAGAATTATCGAGATTCACACGACGCAATAACCGCAACAGCCACCAAAGTGGCTCATGTGCTAGTCTTCCTAGCCAAAGCCAGTATGAACACCACTTGCTCAATAAATTGTCGCCGGTGTCTAGAGGATTACAGTCAAGAAATACTCGCACATACTCAGTTCCAGATCTCAGAACTGGTTGGTCTAGATGAGCTGCCCAGAATAGCCAGTAAGGACGCAGACCTTGTATCCTCCGGTGATGTGCCACTCCCTGGCCCTACGAAAACAGATGTGACGGAAGAAGCCAGGAATTAGTAATGATGCAGGGTTTTCCCAGTATTGAGCTTTATAGCTTCTACGAACCCAATGCGGTGCTTAATGTATCAGTGCACCTTGTCAAATGCGAAATTATGTAAATTCTGTTCTTCTAAGATCAGTATTTTATATTGATGCCCTTACTTGATGCCCTTACTTGATGCCCTTACTTGATGCCATAATACCGCATTGCTATACGGCCCCATTGACCTTTTAATATGCTGTTATTAATTGCAATAATGACCATCTTTTGAATATAATTGTCCTTCAATACTTCCCACAATTGGCAGTGATATGTATACCAGGCTGGCCAGGGTATTTCTTCACTTCTTGCATATTAGTAAATAGTCTCGGATTCATGTGGCTAGGTTCGACCACCAGTTCAATGCATTAAATCTGCTCCATCTCTGAGACATTGTTAGTGAATGATTTTGATTCATACTATGGAAGATAGTAACGTTGACGGAGTAGGTAGCTTGTTGTGCATGATTATATTAACTATCGAACTGGTGGTGCTATAAGAAAGTTGATTGCCCTGCCATAAGGGGCTTGATACAGGGTCTTTGCTGTACCAGCATGTTGGGAAACGTCTTTAGAGCGAGCTTTACTTGTTTTTTGGTGGGCAATATGATCGACAAATGAATTAGAGTTCACGAATCCATGCGAAGGTTTAATTGCAGTATGCCAGTGTAGGCTGTTCTCTAATCACAGTATATAAATCTAAGCTAGATGAATATTTTCGTTGCAAGTGACTTCTTTGCGTCGTTTCACCCAAAGTCCGATGTCGCGAACGAAACGCCTGGCGGCACCTACTTTCACGCCGTGCTTAACGAAGAAACCTGGGTCTTGATCCTCATAAATCTGCATGAGGTCGAGACAATTTTCGAGGGTTACATCGCGTGCTTTGTTGATGCTCTCCCTGAAAGCCTCGTTGCTCACCCGCGATTGCTGCCATTCAGTATACTCGTCCACAGCGACATCTAGCAGTCCGTCGATTATGATTGGTTCAATACAGCCGGGCCCGGTGGGCAAAGCATCATTCGAAGGAGGCTGTATCAATTGTTGAGATGATCCAGCCGGGAGGACATTGATATTTATTGGAGGACACACTGAACCTGTTGTAGAGTTGTCCGCAGCTTTCTTTTTTTTGTACAGTCGCTGGTTCTCCTCGGCATAGAGCTGCTCGCGAACACTATCAGGGACATCAGCGTGGGTCTCGAGAACCCCACCTTGCTCCACATATTTAACGAGGGCCTTCAGATGGTGTGTCTTCAATCTATGGTGCTTTTTTCCCTCTGGATCTTGCCAGCAGTATTGTCCTTCGTGACGACATGGAGGCCCGGGGCATCGCATAACACGATACACATCGCGCCAGACGGAACATTGGCCGGAGACCTGCTCGGCGTCAATCTGAGCGTCTCGGTTAGCGAGCATCCGTGTAGTTACCGATGACTTTCCTCGCTTGTCCGTTCTAGAAGGAAGAGGTCCACTGTCGTCTATGTAGTTGATCGATATCTGTAGCCGGATCTTCTTGCCACGACGGAATAGATAGGCCCACGCTAGCAGCTGCTTCTCCACCGCTGTCCAATCAACACTAGTACCTTCAAAGTGTTTGTCAATGTTCCGTTGGGAGTTCACCGATAACACCATGTCAGTATCATCTAGTCTCACTCGTCGGCCACGGGCTGTCTTCCGTCCTAGAATATTACAAGCATCCTCTTTTATCTGTTCCCAGTAGGATCTAGGTGGTTGAATAAGGTCTTGTTTTGTATCCTTGACCACAACTCGATTGTTCAATTTAACCTTCCACTCAATCTGGTAATGGATACCGTCCGGAGATTGTTCATCCCATGCACTTCCATCTGCACGTTCAACCACAGGATCAAAACTATGCTGGCCGGATAGATGTTGATGCAAGGAAGGTGAACATTCACTAACTATGTCCTCGGGATCGGGTGAAGGGCAGATTACTGATGGCGTCCATTCGCGGTCTGGGTGACCAGGGGTGGGGGCATACGAGGGAGTCCGTTCCCATAGAACAGGCAGTTCAGATCGGTAGGCATCATAATCATCGTCATCATCGTTGAAAGGAATGTGAGTCATCCCCCAAAGGCAGTAGATGCCACTGAGGATTCTATTAACATGATTGTGTGTCAGCTTCCAACAATTGTGATCCAGGGCGTGAAGAAGAGAGGGCTGTGGCTGACAGGCTGATTATTATGATAAGCGGTTTCATGGGTAGTCTGTAAGGACAGTAAGCAAGTAATACAAGCCACTATTTGCAGGTCGGGTGCCGAGTAAGCCCCCCCAGACCGACTTGGACATAGGAGGAGAAGGGAAGTGACAGATCGCCAGATTCTCGAGGAACTCCCAAGCTCTAGTGTTTGACTTGTTTGCATTTCCATGGAAAATTATAGTTTCCTTGGATCGCCAGTACAGTTACAAGACGAGGCACCGTATTTTAATGAAAGTAAATCACAGTATCGAGGCTGGTACAGGAATATTGATATTCCGGTCCTATTCCTAGTACGGCTTAGTGTGGCTTGGCAGTGGCGCCAAATAAACAGTCTTTGAGTGTAGGCTGTTGCACCAGTTTCGGGACGTACTGTAGATGAGGTGGACCCCGGTACAGCCGAAGGTACATAGTAGCACAGGATATCACTGTACTACTAGTAGATTGGAAAAGACTGAATCACTGCGGGGAACTACTGTATTACACTGGGGACGCGCGATATAAATCGAGCGAAAATGACGGGACGGGCCGAGACGCGAACCCCTGAACCGCCCGACCGCGACGAACACGAAAAATCACCACCGCGATTGTTGAGGCCGAGACGCACCACCAGGCCACCGAACAATTATGCCCAGGAGCAAGAACTCGATATCGAACATACCAACGCACGTGCCCAGCAGAAAAAGAAGACCCAGTCCAAGCCAGCAGCCCAACGTGAAGCGGTCGCCTCGGAATCATCAACAGAGAGCGAGGAGCCGAACGCGTCGGAACTGTTAAAAGAACTTGTCAAACTCAGGAAGGAAATCAGACAGCGAGACCGATTACACAAGGAGGAGCTTCAAAAGCCAAAGAAGAATTTAGCGCCCTCAAAGAAGAGTTTAGTGCCGCCCTTGCAGAAGTTCGACACGAGCTACAGACCCTGGCAGATAGACCCGCGACACCACAATCCCACCTCGAGCCATACTCTCAGAATGACCAAGATGAGATCCTGCGCGAGATTCAGTCCTTACGCGAGGAAATCAGCGCCCCTGCTCCCATCAGCTCCCCTTCCTATGCAGAGGTCGCGCGCACTCCTCCGACCAGTCACCCAAGCAACATACGGACCCTCTCAACGCTGAATACCACACCATCCACCTTCACCGACACGTTATACTGCACGGTAGACACCTCGAAGATGACCGAAAGTGAAAACGAGAAGAAATCTGCAGGCTCAATCAGGGCCACAATCGAGAAAGAAATCCGAACGATGGATGATCACACTCACTGGCGCTGTCGCGCGGTTACTGTCAGCCCAAGAGATCCCAACCGGATCAGGATCGCGTGTCGCGATGAAGCTGAGCACCAGCTGGTCAAGAAAGTGGCGGAGGAAAAGATCGGAACGGGAGCCCGGGTGCTCCGGGACGAGTTCTATCCGCTGAAGGTCGACAGCGTCAAGAGGTCTGCAGTACTGGATGAAAACCATGAAATCCTGGCAGGAGCAGCTGCAGCCCTGGGGGAGGAAAATGAAACTACAGTCGCCAAGATAACGTGGCTTAGCAGCAAGGAAGCCGCGAAGCCATATGGGTCAATGGTCGTGTACCTCACCAAAGGCACTGACGCGCGGAGGCTCCTGGCCGACGGATACTTTCATGTTGGAGGGGAATCCGGGACAACCAGCATCTTTGAACATCGACCACGACCGTTGCAGTGTTATAACTGCCAGGAGATTGGTCACAAGGCATTTCAATGCAAGAAGATCCAGAAGTGCGCAAAGTGCGCTACGGAGGGTCATCACCACAGTCGCTGCGATCAAGAGGGTACCGTGCATGAAAGCTTGATGAACGATGAACAGACTAAGGACGCAGTGGCGTTAGCGATTCAGGAACCTCAGGCGAGGAGGATTCAGGGCCGGCTCTTGACCACCCCGATGGGACACCACAAATGGACGAAGATGGTTCCCTCCACCTGGAGGGAAGGCAGATGGGCGATCCGAAGCATGCTGTGGGTTAATAAAGACATAGAAGCAGAGCAAGTGGCTGTCGAGTCCCCGGATCTGACAGCGGCGGTCGTTCGGTTACCCGGACGGCTGATCTTTATAGCGTCGGTCTACGTAGAAGGGGGAGATGCCTCCGCGCTGGACCTCGCGTGCGGCCACCTGAGAAAGGCGATCACAGGGGTACGACGAGGCACGGGCGCTGTGGTGGATATTATGATTATGGGAGACTTCAACCGCCATGATCAACTCTGGGGCGGAGACGAGGTGTCCTTGGGAAGACAGGGCGAAGCAGATCCGATCATTGACCTCATGAGTGAATTTGCTCTTAGCAGCTTGCTCAAGCGAGGCACGAAAACATGGCATGGCGAAGGACAGTATGGGGACTGCGAATCCACAATTGACCTCGTCCTGGCCTCCGACAATTTGGCAGACCTGATGACCAGATGTGTAATACACGGGACTGAGCATGGCTCGGATCACCGGACGATTGAGACGGTGTTCGATGTACCGTGGTCAGCCCCGAAACATCAGGAACGGCTTCTTCTGAAGAACGCGCCATGGAAAGAGATTAATGCTAAAATCGCAAGCACCTTGGCCGCTACTCCGTCGGAAGGCACCGTGCAGCAGAAAACAGACCGACTGATGTCTGCAGTCTCAGATGCAGTGCACACTTTAACTCCAAGAGCAAAGCCATCGCCACACGCGAAGCGGTGGTGGACAACCGACCTGACACAACTCCGTTACATATACACGTACTGGCGCAATCGCGCGCGATCAGAACGACGGACTGGGCGAAAAATACCTGAGCTCGAAAAGATGGCCCAAGATGCGGCAAAACAATACCATGATGCCATCCGCAAGCAAAAGAAGAAGCACTGGAATGAGTTTCTCGCAGACAACGACAATATCTGGAAAGCCGCTAAGTACCTGAAGTCTGGGGATGATGCCACATTTGGAAAGATCCCACAGCTCCTCAGAGCAGATGGAACTACTACCAACGATCACAAGGAGCAAGCGGAGGAATTGTTATCCAAGTTCTTCCCGCCGTTGCCAGATAACATTGACGAGGAAGGGACCAGACCACAGAGAGCGCCCGTAGACATGCCAGCCATCACTATGGAAGAGATAGAGCGGCAACTGTCGGCGGCCAAGTCGTGGAAGGCGCCCGGTGAAGACGGCCTACCGGCGATCGTTTGGAAGATGACCTGGCCCACAGTCAAGTACAGGGTCCTTGACCTTTTTCAAGCCTCGCTGCAAGAGGGCACACTGCCAAAACAATGGAGACACGCGAAGATCATACCGCTCAAGAAGCCGAATAAAGATGATTACACCATTGCAAAGGCATGGAGACCCATCTCACTCCTTGCGACACTCGGAAAGATACTCGAATCGGTGGTCGCAGAGAGGATCTCGCACGCGGTGGAGACGCATGGACTGCTTCCGACGAGCCATTTTGGGGCGCGGAAGCAGCGGTCCGCAGAGCAAGCACTAGTGTTCCTGCAGGAGCAAATCTATGCGGCGTGGCGTGGCCGACGAGTGCTGAGCCTGATCAGCTTCGATGTCAAAGGCGCCTACAACGGAGTATGCAAAGAACGACTGGTCCAGAGGATGAAAGCCCGAGGCATACCAGAGGTCTTGCTTCGTTGGGTTGAGGCCTTCTGCTCGGAACGAACGGCGAACATCCTCATCAACGGGCAGTTATCTGAAACTCAAAGCTTGCCACAAGCTGGGCTGCCGCAGGGCTCGCCCCTGTCTCCAATTCTGTTTCTCTTCTTCAACGCAGACCTCGTGCAAAGACAGATCGACAGTCAAGGAGGAGCAGTCGCCTTTGTGGATGATTTTACCGCATGGGTGACCGGGCCGACCGCGCAGAGTAACCGGGAAGGAATTGAGACCATTGTCAACGAGGCGCTCAACTGGGAAAAGAGAAGCGGAGCGACTTTTGAAGCAGACAAGACGGCAATCATACACTTTGCGCCCAAGATGCGCAAATCAGACCATGAGCCATTCACCATCAAGGGACAGACGGTGGTACCAAAGGATCATGTCAAGGTCTTGGGTGTCGTGATGGACACAAGACTCAAGTACAAGGAACACATTGCGAGAGCAGCGTCCAAGGGTCTTGAAGCAGCAATGGAGCTTCGGCGACTTCGTGGGCTATCCACAGAAACTGCGCGGCAGCTGTTCACGTCAACGGTGGCACCGGTTGTAGACTGTGCCTCCAACGTCTGGATGCATGCGTGCAAGGATAAAGCCATGGGGCCGATCAACCGAGTGCAAAGAGTAGGAGCGCAAGCTATTGTGGGGACCTTTCTCACGGTCGCGACTAGTGTCGCAGAGGCGGAAGCTCACATAGCTACTGCGCAGCGTCGACTCTGGAAACGAGCCGTGAAAATGTGGACAGACATCCACACCTTGCCGGAAACCAATCCTCTCCGCCGGTGTACAGATCAGATCAGAAAGTTCAGAAGATACCACCGCTCACCGCTGTATCACGTAGCCGATGCGCTCAAGCACATCAACATGGAAACCCTAGAAACGATCAACCCCTTCACGCTAGCCCCGTGGGTGGAACGCGTACAGACCGATGTTGATGAGCAGCACGAGTCCCTGGCCGAAGAGGGCGGGTGCATGCAGGTCGCGGTTAGCAGCTCGGCACGGAACGAGCTAGTAGGTTTTGGAGTAGCCATCGAGAAGCGACCACCTCGAAATCGAAAGCTTAAACACAAGGCGCTATCCATCACCTTGGCCGCAAGAGCAGAGCAGAATCCATTCTCTGCGGAGCTGGCAGCTATGGCACATATTTTGGGCACGGCGAAAGGACTGAAAGACTACACGATCACACTGCTCACGAGCAACAAAGCGGCGGTTCTCACGCTGAGGAATCCTCGACAACAATCCGGCCAGGAGTTCGTGTGTCGGATATACAAATTGATTGCAAAGCTGCAAAGAAACGGGAATCGTGTCAAATTCCGCTGGATTTCTACCAGTGAAGACAACAAGTTGCTAGATCTGGCTAAAGAACAGGCTAGAGCCGCGACGGAAGAAGATGCCCTCCTACAAGAACGTGCCCCAAGGATGAAATCGACCACATTGAACCTCGCACGGTCTCAAGTAGTCCCTAGAAATACTCTGCCGGCGGATATCAGAAAACATGCCAGACGAGTAGATGCAGCACTTCCAGGAAAACACACGCGACTGCTGTATGATCGCCTGTCGTGGAAAGAAGCGACTGTGCTAGCCCAACTCCGGACTGGCATGGCGAGACTGAATGGATATCTCTATCGAATCAACGCAGCCGACAGTGATCAGTGTGCGTGCGGACAAGCTAAAGAAACTGTGGAGCACTTCCTCTTTCGATGTCGGAAATGGACCGGACATCGAACGGATATGCTACAATGTACCAACACTCACCGAGGAAATCTGTCCTTTTACCTGGGAGGGAAGTCGCCTTCTGACGATCAAAAATGGACGCCAAACTTAGAGGCAGTACGGGCCTCAATACGATTCGCCATAGCCACGGGCCGCCTCGAGGCCACTTAACCCCGCTGACGAACATAAATCACCCCTTTCTTTCTAACCTAACCCACCAACCACCTCGTGCTACCCATGGTGGATGCGCTTCAACTGCCGAAGATAGGATGTTGAACACTTGGAGAAGCGCCTTCAAGCCAGTCTACTAACCAACTTACTAACCCACGAGCATCCGATGCGACACTGCATGCTGAGAATGACAAATACGGCAAGGTCTTTCATATGGGTTGCAATGAGTCACAGAATTGTATATACTATGACTTGTATAGTAGTTTAGCGATAGTTGCCCTTTCGGCTCAGCCGCCGGGCGTCAATGAATTGTTTGTTTGTTTGTTTGTATCAGGTTATCGTAATAGGTATGTTTTCATATATTTCCGGTTCTCTTCTACCGATCCCCAGGTTTGCTCCATTTTCTTTTCGTCAGTTAGGCTGACCATACTAGATATCTCAATGCCCGTAATGGATGGCTTCCAAGCATCACGGGAAATTAGACGTATAGAAAAGGAATTTCGTGCCGGGTTGTCCGAATCAGCCCAAAACGCGCTTTCACCCACAGTAATCGCTGCATTGACCGGGCTTGATAGCGCCGGTGCGCAGAAGGAGGCTTTGGGGTCGGGCATTAACACTTTCCTGGTCAAGCCCCTTAAGCGGAAGGAATTGCAAGCTGTCCTGCGCTGCCAAATTTAGGGAAAGCTCCAGGCCATTTTGTCGATCAATTGCGCATTGGTCACAATTCACGATTCAAAGACCTCGCTTTCAGCGACAGATACACAAATCATCCTCGCGCGCGGTAATGCGTTAAAGGCTCCGGCTTTCTACATAGACAAATGAGATTGTTCGTGTTCTATTCAGGGGGCTAGAGATCTGTTTTCATATGATAATGACAAATGTCTTACGCAGGAAGCTCTTATATCCTCGATGCTGGGAGTCACAGACCTGTATCCTTTTCCATGAAGCCCAGCCGAGTCCTTTACAATCTCTCTCCCTGATTCTCCCCGAAAAGGCACGCGGAGAACACCTGGTCGCGCAGCTTTTAAGCGCCAGGATCACCGGTACTATACCGTAGCTTGAGTAGTAATCGGCATGGAGACCTGTCAGCCAAAGACTACGCCAATGAATCTCCAGAAAATCTTGAATCATCGTTCAGACGAGGGACCTCCGGAAGAGGAAGCAAAGGCACGCTTTGCGACCGCCGTCGGCTCGTTGATGTATCTGATGGTCGGCACGCGTCCGGATATCGCGTTTGCGCTGGGTACCTTGAGTCGCTTCACGTCCTAGCCGCGATCGCATCATCAAGTCGCTCTGCAGCGACTGCTTCGCTACATCAAAGCCAAGCAGACCCATCGCTTTACGTACCGCAGTGGGCAGTTGATCGGATACACCGGCGCGGACTTTGGGGGCTCCGTCGTCACTGACGGGTCATACTCCACGTCTGGCTACGTGTTCCAGCTTGCAAGGTGGAACTTCCCGCATTTACTTTCTAATAACGGCTCGGGTTCGATTCCCGCAGGGTACATCCAGAAGAACTTCCGTCAGAACGAGAGATCTCGCTCATGCAGTTCGCCCTCGTAATCACAACCCGCTTGATTTTTCCGAGTCAATTTCCCGTCTCTCTACGGTTGATTTTGTACTTCTTGGCCACGTCGTGATTAAGACTAGGATAAGGCCAATGAAGGGATGGCAGTCACCTCCAAGTGATGTAATCAAGCGCTCCGCAGGTGATCGTCATTTTTGGATTATACCGCCAACTTGGCTTCTGGCAGTTTATAATTGCGATCGAGAAAGAGCCGAGCAGTGACTCGCAAAAATTCCTCTACGCTTGCTAAACTGTCCTCACTCATACTTTCACATAAAAGCCGTACATTGAAATTGAATTAGCGAACAGAATTGCTAGGGGATTCTTAGGGAAAATAAGCCAAGGACTAGGATAGGACTCAATTCCATTTGTATAAATAGAAACAAACAAAATAAACAATCGAAGAGTTCTCAAGAATATTTCCTGTGGTAGTATGTGATCGGCTCACCCGTGGATTACGTTAGCAGACGAGGACTTTATCAACCCCTTCAGGATACCTATCATTGGGTGGCCCTGTGGCCATCATCTCTAATGTGATCGCATGATTCTCGTCGCCACTCCACGCCAATCCACACCTCCCTGCTTCTCCACATCATCCACCCACTGCCATTCCACTGCCCCTTCACAGCTCTCAACGCTCGGGCTGTTAATCGCCACCGTCTCCTCAACGGCGCCGCGCGGTTAGGGTCCAACGCTGTTGCTCCCATAAATGCCCCTTTCTGGGCAGCAGATACCCCGCTTCCAGGGCAGGGAGCCTCTAGCTGATGGCAGGGGTGGAGAAACGATGCACAGCCGATCGAGTCACATTGCAATATAGCCCCTCTCACAAATCATCGTCTCTGGACTGTTCTTGGCTGGTCGCTACCACTTGTCGAAAGGGCGATTGAAGCAACGCGGCCGACACACGTCCTCGTGGTGGATGACAATCGCATCAATCTCAACCTTATGGTGACCTTCTTGAAGAAGCGTCATTTATCAGAACTGGTCTCGGCAGAGAATGGTAAGCTAGCCGTGGAGGCAGTCGAGCGGATGCCGAATGGCTTTGACGTCATTTTCATGGATATATCGATGCCCGTGATGAACGGGTTAGAAGCAACCCGTGCCATCCGCGCACTAGAGCGAGAGAGCGATGGCCGCCAGCCGGCTATTATTATTGCTCTGACGGGGCTGAGCAGCTCGCGGGATGAGTCGGAGGCTTTGGCTTCTGGGGTGGACTTCTTCCTGACCAAACCAGTATCTTTCCGGGAGGTTTCACGCCTTCTCGATAAATGGGGAAGGGATGGTCTGAAAAAGGAACGGAAGAGTGAAACATGAGACATTCATTTGCTTTGATGGGCTGAGCCTGTTCGTTCGTTCTGAGGACTAGACGTGTTTCGCTCATCGTCGCTCGCTTGCCAGCCCCATTGATTTCCTGGGCCTGTCGCCAATGATTTCTTTCTTCCATCCTCCCCACCACTAATCCCATGGACTCACTTTCTTTTCATTTCGGGGGCCCTCTTTTTCTGAGTTTCCAGCATTGTCATTGGTCTTGTCGGCGATTAGCTTTGATCATGTTGCTATAACGTCGTCAAGATAGTCGTCGCAGACAATGCTAAGGGCCATATCGTCTCTCGAACTTTCCCCCTCACCTGATTTAGTGTCTCACATTTTCATGTTATTTTTTATGATTTGGAGCGTATAATACACGACTGGGCGCATTGCATCGAGGTCGGCAGCTGGGTATACGGAAAGCTGCGACCGGCGTTATGTTGATTTCACATGTTTATTTTCCTGCTGGGTATGTCTTATTATATGGCGCTTGTGACTTACGGTCTGGTTGCCCCTCGAGTCCATTTGGATGGCTTATTCATGACGATATACTGGTTAAAATATATACTAATGCACAGATTGCGAAGGCCCCCAATGTTATCACCGCCAGTAATCGCACGAGGTCTTCATCGGTGTCCTTTGATACAATTCGGCTATTGATCTTGACCCGCTACTCTATGAAATAATGGATACAGGTTGGCGGTTCTTCGTAGGGGTTATGAAAGAACCCGGGGGTTGGGGCGTACAAAACGAATGCCCACGCCCTGATGACTCTCACCTTCCTCACGTTCAGGGGCAACCGGGTAGGCTATGTGGGTCCGTCACACTGTATGTCCTCCGTCCGCATCGTAGTACGTGCTTCATGTATATCCGTGGCAGGAAACGTTTTCGCCCCCGGAATAATACGTAGAAGCCCTCAGAGGCAGGTACTGGATTTCCAGGAGCATCTACGTAGCCTCTAGGATTCTATCCTGGTCACCGCTCCCTAGAGCAATACCAGGTCGGGTGGGTGGGACTGCCTCTAACGCCTCTTCATCCGATTATGCAGAGCTAAAAATGGGTATTCTGTACCGCATGTCGCCTGTACAATTATCACAAAGTTATCCTATAACACGATGTCTTTTAGAATACTTGCTGTCAAAAAATGAACGAATGATCGTCTCGTGTTGGGGACTTAATGAAAGCGCCCGACGCTGAAGAATGGTGTGCATGTTTAGGTACTGAAAGATGGGAAACGCTCGCTGGCGGTCTGCGCAATGCAGACGGGTCGATCGCAGAGAGACGAAACCACCAACACCCAAAGGGTGTAAGTATCGCTCAGTGTGTACTCCGTAGTAGCAAAGCAAATGCCCATGCAGTATGTAGGAGGTCGCTCAATCTTAATAATACTGGCAAAGGTATTGAAGACTCGGTGTAATATAACAGGTTCACGAAATAGAAGGAGTGTCTAGATTCTCAGTTCACAGCGCTCTCTCGAATGTTACACATGGCAAGAAAACGATGCCTAAATTCTAAGGCTTGTATCACCTGACTGTTGTTGAGAACGGTTCTCCCACTACAGTACGTAATATCAACAGGATATTCAAGGTTCCCCTTCGTTAACTTGAGAAGCGGTCTTCCCGGGATTTGATGACTTACATGCCTTCTACATAGTTAACTAGTTAGTTAGGAGACAGTATTTAGTAACGAGCTTTGATGACCGAAACCTGAAGCAACTCAGAAGGCTCGTGGGGTCGCAGTTTCAAACCGCCAAATAACCGTGTCCAATCAACCTTCTGGAGAACCACAAGATCCCCACTAACCTGTGGTCGAGGCCTACTCCCTAAGTTCAAGAATACTTTCAAGTTCGCGGTTCAGAACAAACTCATTCAAAAACTCGGCTCTACATGCCTTTCCATGTGACGCAAGGCTACTTAAAATAGCGGTCCTCTCCCTCTCTAACAGGATCAGGCCAGAATGGCTATCTTGGGAAAAGTGCCTGCCTCGGTGGAGTCGCTGCATAACCAATTTCGGCCATGACCTTTGCATTTTCAAGACCCATAATCAGAGGTTCCCCAGGCCAGAGACAGATAACAGCTTAAGACATATGTACACGGTCAATTTCCTACACTGGGTAGCGGGTATGGAAGGATGGTGTATGTGGCTCCTCTCAAAGTTCGGCGAGCCGCAGCCGCGGACCAAGGAGGAAGTCCATGTGTATGTAGCCCAGCTACGTAAGGAGCTCCAAACCCCCTATCATCATGTTTGGCACAGGGTGTAAGTTCCTAGCTGTTCGCTCTGTCCCGTGTTCGATTCTAGACATGCCTTTGTTGCTGACTAATGCTATAGACGAAGAGTTTGGGCACAAAAGCCCACAGCCATTCTAACAGACTTTGAGTTTGCCGATGCTCTGGCCGAGACTACCATAGAGATACAGGGCCAGTAAGAAAAGGAATCTCGGTAACGAGCTGTTGGTAAGTTTGACTGGCCGTCTCGAGTGTGTCTTGGTGTCTCACAGTATTTACGAGTTTAGTGTAGGATAGAGCTGATCACAGCCAGATGATTCCAACGTCAGCATTCAGGCTGGATCCACTGAACACTCCATTGATGTGATGAAATTCCTTCAATCCTTTGGAAGGTTTCAACAGTCGTCCGGTCAAAATCCGAACAATTGCCTACTCAGAAAGAAGTTTCTTTTCTGGCACGATCAACAACGGATAGAACACTAGGATTCCGACAATTCTTCCAGTGAATGCAAGCAAATATCACCACCTTCGGGATTGAAATTTCTTATGTGCCTCCAAATGCATGAACTAGAAGCTTATCTGAGTGGAAGGGTGACAATGGCGCATTTTCTGAAGGATCGGCATTAGCTGCCTGAAGCGCAGAAAAGGGGCTGTCCCAGAAAAGTTGCCTTGAATGCATCATACATACCGTATAAGTGACATGTTGGAATTCCAAATCAATAGATCGTCATTAAGAGATCCACTCAATCTGGGACTAGTGGCTAGCAGCTGAATTGGTTGGTTTTCGCTGTCCCAAGCGTATGTTACCGGTCCCACCTGAGAGCTAGCCTAGCAGGGATCGTATCACAAGACACCCTTGCAAGGGGCTGAATATGAAAAATCTTCCAGCAGGTGCACAAGCTGGCTTTCCAGCGCCCGATTATAGGAAGCCTTCGGTCGATCTCGGTGGGCAAAAGTCTAAAACGACTAGATCGTCGCAGTGGAGGTCGGACCATTATGGCTAAGATCGACATTGCACGATTGTCATATACATATAGCCGCGCGCAAGTTACATGGTATTTTTCGGGAAAAGGGTTGATATTGAAGGTGAGAAGTGAGCTCCGTTTTCCTACCCAACACGAGTATCCCAGAAAGAGACTATCATCGGGAAAGGCCAAAACGTCCGGTAAGATCGTCAGTGGAACTGGAATTGTGTCTGAAGAAGATTTATCACACGCATTATGAAATTCAGTGGAGATTCGGCTTGGATTCTTCGAATAGCATCCACCCTCATTACTAAAAGCGCCTTCCGAGTTATTATGATCATTGGTATCCAGCCTTGCAATGTCTTTGGCAAATGGAAGCTCTCCAATCCTGGGATAGGAAGCACATCCATTCGGATCATCATGGCACTCACATCTATCTGGGCAACCACAAAAGCGGTAATTCAAGGACGTCTTCTTGCACGCAATGGGCAAGTGAGTCTGGACACTAGTACAATCACTATTCCTTCCGAGTTTCCTCACCACTTCGACATCGATCACTACGACATCGGCTACTACGACTACTACACTGCCGCTGCCAATTAAACCGCCTGAAATTGGACTTGATTGGCAGCAGCAGCGTAATGGTCGTAGTGGTCGATGTCGTAGTGGTCGATGTCGAAGTGGTGAGGAAACTCAGAAGGAATAGCGATTGTACTAGTGTCCAGGCTCACTCGCCCATTGCGTGCAAGAAGACTCTGAATTTGACTCTCGACACGCAGAACGGAAATGCGACCACCGTGTTTGCAACCTGCCCGACGATTATGGTTGATTTTGGTTGTGGCATTCCTGGCAATGGCATGGTAGTTCTTTTGACTCCTGGCCAGATGGGCTGGGGAGATCAGGGTGGGTTCACATACCCCGGCACACATGAGATTAGGGCTCAGCGATTAGTTTGGCAATACAGGAGCCCGTTGGATCTCTTCACTCTATTTCTGTTTCTCTCCGCCAGGATCCGCCAGTACGCCGGTCCTAATAGTAAGCCCTCCGCTGTCATCAAATTTCAGTGAGTAGCTGATTTAGTTCCACTTCAATTAACCTACATTTCTTAAAGCTGCAATAATTTGACTTGGCGGCCTAACTATTCATTATCCAGGAACGCGTGCCTCGTCTTCAGGATCGCGCTATTTCTGGAAGCTATGAGTTCTTCGGGACTTCTACGTGATTTTCTTGAAACTGATAGGGGACTTGAGGATAGGATGATTGTTGAGAAGCCCATTCATGTTCGCGCTTTATATGCCCTTCTTGACGTGGAAAGTTGATAGGTCTCTTTTCTGTTTTCTGCAACGCGATATCGATGATTTTGAACGTAAACAAAATGCAGCCAGAGTCATCGGAAGCTCTGGGTCGTGAGGCAAACGCGTTTTCACGTGCTATTTCTCAGGACTACTTTATGGACGGAGTTTGAAATGGATTGAACCAGAATCAGGAGACTGAACAGATCTATTCAATTAATTGCCCAAGTTGATTCGCAATTGGGCTGTTAGATATATACATATAATCTTCATGGACCTTCGTGGCCGCTGTCAAGTTTCTATGGACAGACACTTGCGGATGAGTATCATATCTCAGAAGATCAAATACGGCACATCAAACTGGTCAAAACCTACATAAGCGGGTTGTAACTTCCAACATATATTCGCAACGAGATTCACAGTCCAGCGTTGCTGATGAAGTGATGGCATTGTAAAATCGACCTCTAAGTGCATTTCGGTAATACGATAACCGCTGTACCGGACAAAGTATTAATGCGGAGAAATTTCACAATATGAATAATGATGCGAATATGAATAAGGCGTTTATTCGCATTCCTTTATTCCTTTCGGAGCCCTAGCTGTGCGGATGTGGGTGTTGACGGCATCGGTGGGGAGGTATCGTCCCAATGTATTTCCGTCGCCGTTGTTGTCTCTTGGGTCGACAAAGGTTCTCTGGGTGCTGTTTCGGACGCAGTTCTGTTCTTGCTCGGGACCCAGGTTACCGCTCCGCACGAATCGAATCGAATCGAACTTTTGTAGCAATAATGGTGTAATGCCTATGATCATTTGGCAGAGAAACGTTTGAAGCTTGCTGCAAACGGTGACATGTCCCGGCTATGGGGGCAACCCTGCGATACTCCGTGCCAGTGTGACAGTGTAACAGTAGCAATGATGGCATGATGTCTGTAATTCTTTGGTGAAGGAAAGTCCGTACGCGTTATTGCTCGAGAGGGTTTGAGCAATAGGACTTCATATTGTTCATCAAGTTACTGAGAATATAAGATCAGTTTCTGAAGTTCATGGAGTTAGTCTCTGATAGAGAAGCTTAGCTGTAATGGCAGGCAAAGGATTTTTTCTGTTTAGATCCCTGAGTGCCCAAAGGTAAAGCCACCCGGGCTCATAACCTGTTGAGATAGGTAGTTGTAATGTTCTTGTTGAGGCTTCCCATCACTTTCTCCGAGCGCACTCTTGGGAGCCTACTGGCGCCTGTCCACTTAAGACCGCTTACGCCGAGCATCGAGGACCACCATCCCAATCACCGCTCCTCGCAACACGATGAAAGATTTCCCAAATGCCCCCAAAGCTCAACCCGCGTGTTCCAGTATCGAGCAAGAGACAAGTCGCTACAGTTGCCCCGTCTCTGGCGCTCTCACCCGGCCAGAAAACAGCATTGAGACTTTGGTCTTGACCCCACCAAGCCCTGCGGGTGGATGTGAGCCATTCATTTCCAATAACAGCAATTCGAGTCGTTACGAACTCCGGCCAAACAGACCTTCAACCTTCCCTCCAAGGAAGCCGCAATATTTAGTTGACCGACACCATTTCCCTCACTTCTTTAGATCGTATAAGTACTCTATCGATCAACACGGGTTCTCAGACAGTGACTATACTCCTCCATCTCGGACGCCTACGCCAAGTTCACCAGATCGAAGCGTTTCCATTGTTTCAAGCCTTCCCAGTGCCGTGTCAAGCCTTGAACTCTTCGGCTTGGAGGTGCGCTCTCTTCAGTCATTAGATCGTGAATCGGTTACCTCTGATCGGCCCAACGACGTATCTAGCCCTGACTTCTTCAGCTCTGAGGAGCATCCATTGCCAACATGACTGAAATCACAAAATTCGAGCAATTTGGAATCAATACGTTTTATAATGGAATCCCGATACTGGATAATGCCAGCGACTGGTTTAGGTGGAATCAGAAGGTCAATGAGTTCATTCAGATATCTGCGGTTGCCGACGATGGAGCGACTCCACCGATAGAAGAAGAGGAAGCACGGCAATGGATCCACCGCCAAAAGTTCTATTCTGCGATGATCACGGCAAAGCTGACACACAATGCGGCGCAAAGGATCAATGCCTTTGAGAATCCTCGAGTTCAAGTACTGCTTAAGGCAGTCAAGGACAACTTCAAACCAGAAGGCTCAGACACGTATGTTAACCTCCAACGACGACACATGGCCCTTACAAGAGACAAGTGTGGGAGCACTCAAGCCCTCGGGGCAGAGATCAGGAAGATCCATGCTGAAAAACTCCTCCTTGACCCTGATTGCGTAACCTCCGAAATTGAGCGAACATTTTTCTTCGTACATGCACTCGGTCCGGAGTACGAGAGCTTCCGCGATCATATCTTCCGGCAAATGGACCTTGTCAATGAAAGAGACGCAAATGGGAACGTCACCAAAGCGGCGCCCACGTTCGACTATATCGAGAATAAGGCAATTGAGGAAGAGCATAGGAAGGGGCAATTGGGTAAACAAGCAATGGAGACGCAAGCACTTCCTGCTCTTGCTCTAGTCCGTGGGCCAGGTGACAAGAAGCTCATCCCGTCGTCGGACGGAACTACTTGTCGAATCGAGATCGATAACGTCCCATATTGCTCCTTCTGCCGCAAACCTTATCACATCGACGCCGAATGTTTCACCAAGAACCCGAGACTGAAGGTCCAAAAGAAAGACGGAGACGGACCGAAGCCAAGACCAGGCAGAATGCACATAGGCGCACACAGACAGTCGAATCCAAATGGCTCAATATCATGGCCCCTCACTGAGAGGCATCGACACCTCAACAGCTCCCTCGGGAGTGGGAACAGTAAATATCCTGTGCAATGTACGCGGCAGAAAGAAATGGCTCGTGCTTGATAACGTCCTATATGTTCCATCTGCGCATGCCAATCTCATATCGGTGCTTCAGCTTCTCCAACGAGGGGCAAAAGTCGAATTCTCAAGCCGGGATGCTATCCTTCGCAACAAGTCAAACGGAAAGAATCTGTTCACTGCCAGTGAATATCATGGAGTCTACGCACTCGATCTGTGGGCAAGTCTGACTTTTCCCTCTTACCATGTTAGTCCACAAATGTCTCTGTGGCACAGCCGGCTTGCCCATATGAGTGATGCAAACCTTCGGCGACTCAAGCAGCAGGCTCACGGCGTGCGGGACATGGAGGCACGTCATCCATGCAATCCCTGTCTGCAGGGGCGAATGATCGAAAACCCCCACCGCAGATCAGGAAGTAGCAGGAGAGGAGAATATGCAGTGGAGCTCCTCCATATTGACGTCGCTGGGCCATTTGACGAGGGCCTTGACGGCAGTCGTTACTGGCTCACCATTGTTGACGACTTCACGAGCTGGATCGAGATTATCCCTATACCACGAAGACAACACTTCGTCATAGAATCACTTCGGTTCTTCCTCGACCACAACGAGCGCCCCGAGCGAAAATGCAGACGAATACGTCTCGACCGCATATCTGAACAAGTGGGAGACGAGATGAAGTTTATGTTGTTCTCGCGCGCGATCCAAGCGGAGGTGACAGGAGTGGATCAACATCAGCAGAATGGGGTTGCCGAAAGAGCCCATAAGACAATTTATGATCGGGTTGGGCCTAACCTAGCACATGCGAGGCTGCCGTCTAAATTCTGGCCGGAAATCGCTCGAACCGCAGCTTTCCTCTCCAACCGATCACCGTCATCGAAGCTCAACATGACTCCGTATCAAGCGTGGTATGGCGACAAACCTGATTTATCATGACTTAGAGTGATCGGATCCAAAGGGGAATACTTGATCCCGCCAAAGCAAAGAAAGAAGCTTACGGATCCGCGAACAAGGCCATGCATTCTGCTAGGCTATGAAGGAAATACCAACTACCGCATCCTTCTGGGAGACGGAAGAATCGTTGGGACTCCAAACGCTGAATTTCACGAAGTCCTGACAGCTCCCTCCACACAGACTATAGAAGATGTGGGAGCCAGACGAGGCGGCTTACCTGAGGCAACGGCTGCTGCCACAGGGGGGAGCGAGACGGTGGGACTAATAAATCAACCGTCGGTAGGTATGCGGCAAGCATCCGTGCCTGCTTCGGGGCACCGATTGTCGATGGATCCCCCAGAGCGGCCCCTACCTAAGCCGAGAAACGATATCTCGCACATAATGCCTCGGAGTGACGATGACTCGCAAACTCAAGCGTCGTCCCAATCGAGTGACGATGACTCGCAGCCAGCTGTTGCTGTACAGGGAGACAGGACCTTGTCGTCCACACGGAGCGACGATACCCTCGGACCTCTATCACCTGCTTATCAGGATTCTGTCCTTGAGATTGACTCACCACCCGGTGGCGGCCAGCAACAAGACGACGCTCAACAAAGGCTCAGTTTAGGAGAATGGCAACGATATCCAGATCTCCAACTTGACAGCCCAGTTCATGAAGTGCAGCAAGGAGCACTAGATCATCACCCTGAACTAAAGATTTGCGGTCCACAAGTCACACTGGACACGTCTGATGAGAGCGAAGAAGAGCTTGCACTAATGAATATACCCGAAGAGAACGTCATCTCAACATTCTTGACGGTAGCTGCAGAGGAAACAGAACCCTTTGAGCCAAAGAACCTGCATCATGCGAAAAACGACACAAGCTGGCTCGAATGGGAAAGAGCAATGCTCGAAGAAGTGGACTCACTCAAGCAAAACAAAACATGGGAGCTTGTTGATCCCCCCAAAGACCGGCGAGTTCTCAGTGGAAAATGGGTGTTCAAACTCAAACGAGGACCTTATGGCGAAGTACTCCGCCATAAGAGCAGGTGGGTGGTGAGAGGCTTCACACAAGAAGAAGGTATTGACTATGATGAAACCTTCGCCTCGGTTGTCAAGCCAATGAGCTACAAGGCCCTCTTCGCA